TTTTTTTTTTAACAACCAGAACGCTCTACCTCCAAGTTCTTTAACACTTTTTCTGGTTTGACTTTTAGTAAAACCGCTGTTTACCTGCTGCCATTTATTCACTTTGCTGACATTTTCTAATACAAATAGGTTTTTAGCTTGATTAGACTCTGCATTGCCTCTTTTCTAATCTGGGATTTTGTCAGTAAGTTCTTTCTGGAGCAAAGTACTGTTTTCCAAGCATCCCTTTGACTTGATGATTTCTGCTGATGGGCTTTTTTCTCTGGAGGTCTGTGTGGATTCCTGTAAGAGAATACAAGCAATTTATAAATGTTGCTTATTGACTTATATTGGGAAAGTTTGAGCAGGTGGAGAGAGTGTCATCTAATCAATAGAACAGTAATACTGCAATACATTTGCTTTCACATAAATATGACTTTTTAAGTGTTGTGGTGTTACATTATGATGAGAGATGAGGCTTCCTCGCCATCAGCAAGTCATGGGCCTTGATATTTCAGTTATCTAAGTAAAACAGAGAAAGTTTACCCAGACAGTGGATTTTCTCAGAGTTTTTTATAGTTTCACAGAAGTGTAGCCTGATGATTAAGGATTGTGCCCGGAATTCAGTCTGTGCCCCTGCCCAGCCTGAACGCATCCAAAGTCAAGCCTGTTTGTTCTGTTCAGATTTGGGTTACGTTGGCATCGTTTTCCCGAAGTGTTCTACACAAGGATTTCTCCCTCTTTAGGGTTATGTTAGCACTTTGAAAAGTGTCAAGTCTCTGGGCTGATGGTAAATAAATGCGACAATCTTGACATAATTCTTAGGAAGAATTCACTTCTCACCTTCCTCGGTGATGCCGTGCTGTCATCACTTCTGTTGACTTGTTGCTTTACACAGCTTCAGTTGAAGTTTAAACAGGATCTTGGGTGTGTATTGTATAGCTGCAGCACTTTTCTAAATGGAAAATGACATAACTTGAATATTTTTTTTTCAGTTTTAAGTATGCATAGGGCAAGAATGGTTGATATGACCATACTTTGCAAATACTGTGGATCGTTTGGAACCGAACATTGAAATCCTGTTTAATGTGGAATGTCATCTCAAACCAAGTTGTTTAGTGTTGTTTATTTATTTTAGCTGTTTTGTTAGGAGTTCCATTTTATAGTGCGAGAGAAACCTGTGTTGATGCTGCAGTAGAGTCTCTTGTATTAGAAAGTGCCAGCAAATGAATCAGTGTTATGGAAACAAGAACCAGACATGTAAGGACTAGTTTTCTGGCTATTTCTTTTCAGGAAATTTGCCTGATACTTTTGGTTAATTTGTTTCCTAACTCATTATTTTTAGAGATCTCATACAAATTAGTTCTATTTAACTAAAAAAAAAAACCAAACCAAGCCCTGTTGCTAACTTGATTTTTCTGGTGGCTTCTGAAGCCCCTGTTTTACCTAAATACATAACAAATCTTGTGGTTTTACTTGCCTTCCCTGAGAGTAGCCCCAGGCTACATTCCATGACTCAAAATGGGATGCTGAGGATTTCTTATGTTATTCTTTTTCTTAAATATTATTTCAGAATTGTGGTTAGCGTAGGTGTATTGGGGAGGAGGAATAATTTTTTTTTTTTTTTAACTAGCTACTATGTCTTAATTCCAAAATCAGTCACTAGTATAAGCAGGCTTCTAATGAAGGAGGAGTGGAACTGTGTAAGCTTGGTTCCAGCTTTTCTCTGGTGAACACCTTCCTAGTTTCCAGTTGTGTAAGCTGGGCCGGCATTAGTCCCAAAATGTGTGAAGATAATTTGCGGTGACTGAAGGACAAAAGGCTGCTTATTAATAAAAGGCCTTCATATCTGGCTGTCACAAGTCCTGCACTTCAGTTTAAAAAACAAAATGAAATCAAACAAAAAAAGACCAAAAGAACCCCCCTCTTCCCTCCCCCCAAAAAAAAAAAGACCACCACTGTGTCTTAGTATAATAATCTATTATTCATTACTTGTTGTAGATCCTGATTTTGAAATGCCAATAAAAAGTTCAAAGAATGTGGACTTGAATTCTTTTTCCATCCCACATGGACAGTTAATAACGACATTGAAAAGATTGCATAAATGTTGCTGGTTATAGTTCAGATTAGCAGGACAGACGTAAAGACATTAAGTATTTTATTGCTAATGTGGCCTAACAAGGCACAAACATTGGGCGTTATCCCGTTATTGTAATCCACATAGTTTCTTAGAAGTTAAGAACTGCCCTTAAAACACAGGGAGGACTCTTCTGAACAATATGTGACTGTTCTGTTAAAGTAAATCCTAGGCTTTTTATTATCAATGTGTTTATGCTGGGGCCAGGAACTGGATTTAATTTTAATCCCATTTTAAGAGTCTGATTGCAGACACTACTCCAAATGTTTCTCCACAAGGTATGATGGTAGTTCATAAGTTGTTTGAAATAGTTGGTTTTTATCAGTTCTCTACCAGAATGTCATAGTTGTAGTGAGGAAGGACTCCTGTGTCCCATTTTTGTGGCAGAGTTCTACTATGCTGTGACTTTTTCATTAAGGCACTGCCTCTTTTTACTTTAAACGTACATTTGTTGGTAATGAAGAATCTCTTATGTTTTATTCCATTTTCTGTACACTTACCTAGTTATTTGTTTCCTTACTGTAAGACAGGATGAAGTGAGTATTTTGGGGTATATTTGGAGATAATTGGCTTGGCAGATGCTGACCCCAGTTTGAAGTAGATGTCTATTTTAGAACCATATCTCTGCCAAATAGTTCAATTAACTGTCTGAAGTCTGGTGTAAGTCATCTTGATTAGATGGGAAATTTAAATGGTGTGTGTCTGTTTGAATCAGCTGCTGTTTCAGCAGAAAAATCTTGCACAATGGACGATTCAATTTTTCAATTTCCCAGCTTTGTAGGAATAAGTTGAGTGAGTCATAAGATGTTCTGTATTAGACTACTGTTACTTTTAAAAATAAATATATATAGCCACCCCAAAATGGGTTTGGTTCAAATACAGTGACCTTCCAATTAATTCCCCCTCGCTCCTTTACTTTCTCTTCCTACTCCTTTACTTCCTCTTTGTACTCCGTTTTGCTTTGGAAAGGTATTTTCCTCACTATGCTCTGATACAGTTGAAGGTTGAAGGTAATTGACAGTCCTCTGACTGCCAGAAAGTTGGAAACCCTCAAAATGAAAGCATCCAATGAACATAATTCCAGCAGCGGGAGAAAGAAAACTGTGGACTGGAATTAAGATTTTGATTTACATTTTACTTCCTTTAACAGCAAATGGTCGTACAATCTACGAATACTAAAAATAAAGTAAAATCTTCTTATCTACTTATGAAAGACATGTAGCTGGTCTTTTTGTTCGTGAACAGTTTGTAAAAGCAGGGAACAAACTGAAAAGATACATCTAATACTAGATATAAAATTTATAATCTCTTAAATTAGAACAAAATTCTACCATAAAGATGTGTAGTGTGCATTTACTGTCATTTGTGTGTATGCGCAGATAGTGAATATTCAATAGCAATAAAAGCAAGATTAAATGTACAGTTCGATAGGCTGTTTCCATCATTGGCATTCACAATTGTATGATCACACAGTCACATATGCATCTTATACCTGCCGAAACCAGAATAGTTTGAAAATCTGCATCAGTAAAGTAAGTTTAAGATGCCGTTATACATCTTTAAGATGCCATTTAAAGCATCTGGTACAGTTCAGGTGTTAGTTACCATTCTGCTAGGAAGGTGATTTTTCAAAAAAATGTATCTTCAAGTGAAACCTTGGAAGTCATGTTTGGATGTGACCCCTTTCTTCGTACTACACTGGTAGCAGAATGCAAGAGACTGATATCCCAAGAGAGGGAGCAGTTCCAAAGCTAAGTTAATGGAGAAACTTATAAAATGGCTATTTAAAACAATATATTCTTTTTCTTTAAAATACTTCTACTGTAAAGAAAAGGGATGGAGGGAGAAATAGAATCTACACAGCAACTATTTTAAAGTTCATGTGCTGTCCTGGATGTGAAAAAGCTGATTTGGAATAAGTTACCTGATATGCTTAAAATCAGAATAAAAGTGTTTAGTGCAAAACACTTGAAAAGCTCTGAGAGGTAGCCAGGAAAAGTCCATGGCTCGTGATAAAAGTGATGCCCACAGCTGCGTGTGTATTTAAGTCACTAGGCTGCTCCTGTTCTTTTAAATCTATTCGAAGTTCTTTGACTGATAGCCAGAAATACAATTGCATATTGCATGCACCGCTGTTGGAGCCAAAGTGCGTTTTTTTCTATACAAAAAAGGAATGGGCTTCTGGTTGTGTTTTACACTGTGTTACAGGTTCAACAAAACCAAAGCATTGCATTTTTGGCTGTCTGCTTTTGTATCTTGGCTTATAATTTTTAAGGTTGACACAATCAAGACACAATCTAGCTTTGTATCACTTTATTTCTTCTGTAGTTCAATGACCTTTTACACTGTACAAAAATAAATTCTGCAAATACTTTGAGTTAAGTGATACAGAGGTAAGTAAGCTATATTGTCCCAAAGATCCTCACTCACTTGGAAAGTGAAGTAAAAATAATCATTTGCTACCTTTATGTAAGAATTAGTGAGAAGCAGTGTTTCATTAGAGAAAAAAAAAATCTTGATAGACAAATAAATGTAACATGGAGTGAAATCATGTGTTAAAGAACAAATGTTACCAAATAGTATTGATTATTAAAAATACCAACAGAATTGTTATTAATGAAAAGTTAACCCTTCATTGACTATATAGTTGGACTCAATCCAAATGGTTCAGAAGCAGTTCTTTAAGTGTTACAAAATGTTAGAGTCAAAACAACTAAGAAAGCCAACTGAACTTCTAGTCAGGTTCTAAAAAATTTTTTAAAACTTTAGTTTTTTGTTAAAGATGCTGCCATTTACTGTTCCTAATAGTGGTAATGTTATGTCACCATTTGCTGATTCTCTTCATATAAGATCCATTTTGCCAATACTATTTTTATTCTTTCAGGAGTTTTATGAACATACGAAAACACTTTGGCAAGACGAAGGTGTGAAAGCCTGCTATGAGAGATCTAATGAGTATCAACTGATTGACTGTGCACAGTAGTAAGTATTGTTTCTATTCTGCTGTATATTGACTGCGATATACAGATTATTTTGATTGAAAGTTGATGTCAGTACTTTGGATGGTCCTGATACTTACTTTTCCTTACCTTGGAAGAAGAGTGTATGCTATATAGTGAACTCTTGGCAATCAGCTATTCAGAGAGATGGGAGAAAATAACGTTCAGTTAGACAATAATATCTACAGTGAAAACCTTGCAGATGCTTTCAAATGGTCTTAACACGGGCTGACACTTTAATGCAGTAGACAGTTGTATTGTCTCAAAGACCAGATTTCCCAATTCTTCCGCTTAGACCAGTTCCTTTCCAAATGACAGCTTCAGATACTGCAGCAAGTTTTATTAAGTTGGAAAGTACCTTGGTGTGAAACATGCCAGTGTTTGTAGCTTTTGCTTTCAGTGTGGTTTATTTTTCTGAAAAACAGAGGTGGCAGCAACAGTCATGGGCAGCAGCTGTGATCAGTCACCAACTGCCAGTGTTTGTAGCTTTTGCTTTCAGTGCGGTTTATTTTTCTGAAAAACAGAGATGGCAGCAACAGTCATGGGCAGCAGCTGCGATCGGTCACCAATGCTTCTACTTGTGTGCCTTCATGCACATACCTGAGAAGGACTCAGTCTGTTCTGGTAGTTACACCACTGTGGTAATTGGTATTGTTATGAGAGACTGCTGTGTGTTTGCAGTTAATTGTCACATATAGCTATATAGTGGAGTTCAAGAATTATTTTATGGCATGATGTTTGTGATAATTGTGACCATTCCTGGTATTTTTGTTGTGTATACTCAAGAATTGCAGGACTTAAATTTGGACTATTAATTGTTAAAAATGTTCTTTGTTAGTTTATACTCTCTCTTTTGGAGAAAGGGAAGTAAGGTTTAATGGTCAAGAAAATGCAGGTTTCTCATTTCACGTGATGATGGACAACTGCAGTTTGTCTACTACTGCATCTCTTAAAAAACATTTGATAATATTTGTATGGTTCTTTTTTTGTTGTTTGTTTAGGTGGACTTAAAGGTAAATCAACAATTAGCTCTGTTTGAAAAGAGACCATGGAGATAATTTTACTATGACTTGCACAGCTCTAGGTCTTTAGGAGCCTCTTTGAAGCTTTGCCATTGTTTCTAGAGTGAATTTGTTTGATGTGTAGCAATGTCTTTTGCGTTAGGCGACTAATGTTTGATCATTTGGCAAGGACCTTTTTGCAAGTAAAATAAAAAACACTACAAGATTTTAATTTTCTGTCAACTATCCAGTAAATTTTGTCTTTCTGGTGTAAAGCTGATAGAAATGGGGAAAAACTAGTTTTGTATCTGATAGTGTTTGGTTATCTGTTAGTTTCTGGGTAGTGTTTGTTAATAGTCAACTTTTATGAGGGGAAGAAGTAAATATTGTTAAGCACTAAAGTGGTGTTGTGTTGCCCTTTTTTGGAAGAGGAAAACATTTTGTTGTGCCCCAAATGCACAGAAGAAAGCTAAAATGCTTCTCATCCCTGGTTGCTGGACATTGACTTTTCCGTGGGTCAGCAAGGGGAACGGCCCTCATGATGGTTTTACTGTCCTGCTCCATCTAGTGGAACACTTAATTCTACATCATGGGCTGTTGAGCCAAAAATCAACCTTGTATATTGCTGACAAATTACGAATTTTTTTAAGTTACCATTGCCATCTCCTAAAAATATTTCATAATCTAACATTTATTCAATTTGATAGTAAAGCATATGACATTATTTTCTTGCAGAAAGAGCTTTCTAATTGTTAGTTGTGGTAGTTCTTGTCCTTTCTGGCATTTTTGATTGTGCAGTGGCATTGTTTTTAGTAACAGAATATGCAAAGGAAGAGGTTTTTAGTGACAAAATGGTTGCTTGATGGTTAATGTCACTTTGAAATTCTAAACTTATTTTTATCATATTAAATTTTCAAGGGACCTGACAAAAATTACTTCCTGTAAAATCTGACATGATTGATGCCTTGAAATTAACCTGATGAGCAGACTCTAAAACAAAACAACAACAAAAAAAAAAGTCGCAAAGGCAAATTATAAAATGTAGCTGAGATTTAGCAAGTGAAGACTTTTAATTTGAATATGCAAGCTATTGTCATTTGGGCTAATAGGAGTTCAAAGAGAAAGCTGAGCAAACTGTGTTGGAGTTGTCAGTTCTTTCAGAGAAGAGTTCTGGGTTCTAAACACTTTCCCCTTTTGAAGTCCCTGTTTAAAACAAGAAAGGCATACTTAAAACAGAAGGCAGAAAAGTGCCTTTTCTCTTTCAAGATCAATCCAACTTCCAGAAATCCCTTCTTGCTCTTGAAAGTTGAATAAATTTTTAAATATTAATGGATTCTTTGTTTGGTGAATTACTTTAAAATTCTAAACAATGTTTCTTGTTCACAAAAATTAACTTTTTATAGCGGTTTGGAAAATTTAAAATTTTTTAGACTGTCATTTTTTGAAGTGTTGATTGCTTATTGTAAATTTTGCCTTGGTATGGGCTCATTTAACATTCAGGATTTTTTAAAAAATAATTTTTTTCACTCTTGGAAACGACAATGTTATATATGGGAAGCTTTGCAAGAAGATTCTGCCAAATGTATAAAAATTGATTTTGTCTGTCTTTATGAGGGAACAGTGAAGAGTGTATATCTTACAGGGCTTTGTTTGGCTTTCAGAAATGTAAATATCAAAATGAAATTCATTTCTGTTTCCCCAAACCTGCATGAAACGTATGCAGAGCTTCTTGGGGATCTCAGAGAGTGTAGAGGCTGGTCTGCATCGCGTGTCCTCGGGGAGCAGGCACGTTGCAGGGCGCGTGGTCTGCTCGGGTGGCAGCTGTTGGGGCAGCAGGCTGCGGCAGCACCCGGCATCCCGCCCGCTGTCTTCTGAGAACTGGCATAAGAGTCCTTTCCCTCCTCTTATTTCCGTGTTAGTGGTGTGATGGTGGCGGTGAGGTACCGGGAAGGCTGTGAGGACTTCCCTACTTCCCTTCTGTTCATCATTGCCGCTTTTCACGGTTCTGCTTTTTGTGGATGAGAACTGGTTTGCTGTGGAGGCAGCTTAGCTACAGTCCAACAGAAGGTCCTTGTGGAGTTAAGGACTGTATGGCATCGCTGCGGGATGCTGGAACGTTTTGAAAAGAAAGATGTTGGGGAGATGGAGGAGTTGTGCTGAGGAAGGAAGGGAACTAGCTGGTGAGTTGGGAGCTCTCCTAGATGAACAGCGGGCGAGGGGAAAGCCGCTTTTGCTGCTTGTCCTTTCCCAGGAAAGTGGGAATGATTATAATTCTCAACCTAATGTGTTGTGTCCACCTAACTCAAATGTAGGTGTTTGGACTCTGGAAACTTACTTTTTTCTGAAAAATGTATTTTTCACCTGCTCCTGATCGGTAACTTTAAATACTGCAATACTTCCTGCTGTCTCCCCATAAGAAGGCTAATATTAATATGCACCACTGTTGTTGCCACAACAGTTCCTGGTTGCACTGGCTCAGAAGAGATGACTTTACCAAAAGCTCAGGTCCTGTCCTGGCTTTCCACGTAGCCGCCGTTGCGATCTGTGGAGGTGTGGAGCTGGGAGCCCTGGCCAGTAAGCACCTCTGCTGGAGAGCCCTTCTGGTGTCCTGCCCTTCACCCTCCAGCTCACTGGCCAAATGGAAATGTCACTTAGAGGAGCCCTGTTCGTTTGGAAGAGTACCTGCCTCTGCTCATCCTGAGCTTTGCCGTGCTTCCTGCCTAGGGCTGTTTCACCGTCCCGAGTGGCACAGAAAAGAAGGGAGGCTGTTTCCCTTCTCTTATCTGGACTTAGTAAGTAATTAGGTTCAATTCTGCTTTTAGAACAACATGGTCTGCACGGTTGTCACCAGTTTCTCTGAGAGGACTGTATTTTAGCTGTGAGAAGGGAGCATTATCTATGAGGAGCCCCAGCCTCATTGCCCTTGCGTCTTGCAGGGATGTACACAGAAGAGAACGAAGGTTTGTAGTGAAGCTGCCATGTGATATCGCTCTTGGCTAATCATAAACAGAGGAACGCAGAAGTGTCTAGAATATAGAAAACCCCAAACGATGATAAATAAATTATTTACCATCCTTCATATTTCTTCCCTGAAGGCACAGGATTGCATTTTGTTGAGAATATATTACTTAATGTTAAGAATATAGGAGCCATTTCCACTGTAATGTGCCAAGACCTGTTTGTTAAATGTGTGCCTTCTGTCAAATACGAACAAACATGATCTCTTTGAAGTCTTGTCGTTGCTAATACCGCAGTTTTCATTTGAGGAGCTCTGTTCTTAAAGCCTCACCAATACGCAGCAGAGTAGTCAGAGTAAGTAGGATCTCTCCCAAACTGTGCTGTTTGTGGCACGTGGGCATGAAGGATGCCAGCACCAACCTGCAAGATGTGACTCAAAGTCTGTGGATGTCCTGCAGAAAATTGCTTTGATGTCAGTAGCCTTTGGATTAGCTACGAAGCAAATAAAAAGCAAACCCTGGGTACATGAGCCTCCTAGGGCTTTTTCTAGACTTGCTAATATTAGGCTGTGCCCAGAGATCTTTGAATTTTTGCTTAATTAGCCTTGGCCACCAGTTTGATTTTGTGCTTCGTTTTCTGCTGTGCTTTCTCTGCGTATCTCCTAACTGGTGCTTCCTGGTTTTGGTTGGGGTGGAAAAGGAAATAATGTGAGAGACAGTCTTTGCAACTCATTTCACACCCTCCAATATCAGGAAGGGCTGGAAGTAGCACGCGGGAGCCCATTCTCCTGCTGTTTCCTGCCGCCGGCCGCGCGGGCTCTTCTGCTGCCGCCTGCCATTTCGGGGAAGGAAAAGGCACGGGGAGGTGGCTGGTGTAGGTGCAGAGTTCTGTTTCTCAAACTTCAGCACCAGCAGAGCCGCTCTGATAACTTGAAACTATGCCAGGCTGCTCCAGAAGAGTTTTATGAGAAGTATTTTTTAAGATGTTTGTTTTTAAAATACTTATCAAAGAAAGGGGGGGAGTG